CGCATGTTGTCTATCTGCTACTCGAGGATTATTCATATAAGCTTCAAATCAAGAAAAAAGTGAACTTCACTTTCACTTTCAAGGTCGTGGATATAGGCTGGTGAAGGCTATCCATATTCAACTGGTTGGTGACTTCACAAGCAATAATTGTTTATTGCGATTAAGGGGAAACCCAAGACCAGAAATAATTAATATTAATCTGAGTAGAATTTTGCACTTTAATTGTACGAATATTAAATATACTTATTACTTATCAATTACATATATCTAAACTACATATAACAGCTAGATACATAAAAAATAAGAAAGTTTATAAATAGATAAGTTTCGGCGAGAGCCGTACCCTGGGGCATCGTGCCCAGAAGGCTAGCAACATTTCCCCTTTCAATTGCTAAACTTATTCTTTAGCGGAAATAGCTGGTGGCCTTGTGGTCACCGGAGGCTTCAACGAGACGATCCGACAGCTTGTTCGCTAGACGTTTCTACTGTGGTTTTCTACCAGGGTTTCAACCGCAAAGGCACAAATGTGGAGCACTGGCGTATTTGAGCCTTCGCTTCGATGGCGTAAGTTCTCGGCCACTCTGGCCACAGAGCCTGCGCTCACGCTAACAAGGACATGGGAGTGGGCTACAGTGTCCACACAATTTGTGTCCCACACTAGCTGTCTCCCTAGTTTTCATGGACCGACAGTCATACCCTCAGGCTTCTTACCGTCACTGCGATAGATGCCAGTAGGCTCGAGAAATGCCTGTATCTTAGAGCTGGTGAAGGCCCGTAAGATAATGCTATTGAGCGCTCTGTGTCGGCATATAATACAATTTTATAACACAGCTGCATTCCAGTATATGTTAAATAATATTGTAAAGAAAAAACACCTAACTTTTTATTGATTAAAATAATCAAGTGACAACATGGACCGGTCTATGATTCGTTCGGCCGTTAGATATGCTCCAGTAACATCTAAACCATCTTCGTGATGAATTTGTTGATTTTGAGACAGGCCACTATTCTAGAAAGCCATCGATATCCATTAAACTCTACTGCTCATTCACAAGATTCCCCTGAGACTAATGAACAAGAAACTCTTGGGGTTGCTCTTTGTAAAAATACTTACATTAGAGTATACATTCGTTTAGGACAATGTTCAATGAGCTAAACGGGTCATTACGACGGATTTTACTCATCCAAGTACGCAGAAGCTGTATAATAACTATTAACACCTATAGAATAAACTTTGTTTGACTACATAGTTTTAAGCCTCGTAAATGGCAAATTTTGAATATCACCCGGAATCTTATTATAGAAACGTATACATTGCCTTAGTGAGTTTGTGAAAACGACTGTCAACCGCTACTTCATTTTCATTTCTCGTTTTAATGTTATGTCTGTCACTATTTTTCATAAAAAAATACTATTCTTAACATAAATTGCATTTTCATAAATGAATTGTGACGCTCACAGACCACATAAATACTAGTAGTGACGCTAGTGTAAGGATGTTAATCTCTTTAAACTTATCTCTCAAAGACACTGGGGTACTGATTGTAAGTTGCCTTAACCGCACGTTTCTGCTGGACAAATATTCTAGTAATATCAGCGGCATTACCCCATACGAAAATGCCGTATGATATTAAACTATTAAGTAGCTGAAGTAAATCAATCTAGCGGTTTCGACGTCTGAAAGGTTTTGTAATTTTTTTATACACTGCAGGGTTGAGCCGTTTTGATAACTTACGTATATCGACTGTGAACTGGCAATCGGTACTATCTCAATTTTGACAACTTAACAAGATGAAGAAAAAAATTGTTTGTGTCATTTATATACCATCTGGTTTATTAAATAGAAATACGTAGTTTTCATTATTTTTATTACACATATATGTATGTACACTACATATTTTTATTTAATAAACCAGGTGCCAGACAAATGATTTTTCATCCTGTAAAGTTTTCAAAATTGAGATAGTACTGGTTGGCAGTTGCACAGTCGATATGTGGACTCCATTGCAATTTAGCATCTAAAGTTATACCAAGAAATACAATTGCATTGACAAAGTTAAATATTTCGTTTCTAACTAGATATAAATGTTTGTGACAGTCTGTCTAACATTGGGTACCTAATGTAAATTTCACACAATTATTTTACAACTTTAGATATAGTATTGTTCACATCGTCGTAGGAATATCGGTGTTTTGTAACTTTTACTAATAAGGAAGTATCATCAGCAAACAATACTATCTCATGTTCTATAACCCTCCACGAGGTTAGATAAGTCATTAAAATGAACTAAAAACAAAAATGGACCTAGAATTGAACCTTGAGGGATGCCCATACTAATTGCAGACCCTGATAATCTCGTACCGTTGACATCGACCCGCTGTACCCTATCACTTAAATACGATTTAAGAAATTCGAGGTCACGGCTCATCTAGTCAAGATGGCGTCACGTTTGAAGGTCGCACGAAGCGTCACCATCGCGGGCCGAGCGGTAATGGTTACTTCTATTAAAACTGAAGGTTCAAAAGTGGATCTATAACTAATAATATAAATTAAGCTGGTTCCAACAGTGTGGTAAAGACATTTTATTGAAGAATATGTGTTTTCGATAAGTTAGTATCTACTTCTTTCGAAATTTTCTGTGTTTATTTTTCAGTAACTCATTTTAACGCAGCTTTGGTAGTATAATATTACGTACAGCTTTCTTTTAGATTTTTATTTGTTTTTCGGAACCTTTATTATTTCCGCTTTTATTGCACTTAAGAAAACAAAGACGTACAAGACAGGATACAACAAGCGCTTCATCGCCATCACATGTTACAAGAACAAAATACAGTAACAAACATAAGACATAAACCAAAAGATGTCTATCAGTTGGTCAAGTCGTCTGCACGTGTTAACAGGAAGGGCAATGATTAACAGAAACTGTACTTACTAATTGACTGAATTATTTGTAGATAATAGGTATAAATTTTGTTTATTTTTATTTATTTTTCCTTAATGGCGACCACTATAATAGGCTTGGGTCACAGGTATGAACTCTGATGTTTAACCGTAACCGTAGCAACTGTCACTTCATTTGACGTTTTATAACGTGGTAGCGCGAGGTAATTTAGTTTTATTTTTTTTATTTTTTTTTTTTTATACCTGACAGGCAAATGACTCCACTCCACCTGATGTTAAGTGGAAAGTGGTATCCAAACGCGAAGGAACCTAGTGCAGCGATGGAATCCTCACTGCACTAGCCGCCTCCACCCTGCCTGCCTACAATATGCCTCTTCACGCCTCGTTTGAAGGACCCCATATCATAAGAGGGAGGGAAGACATGTGCCGGAAGGGAGTTCCATTTATTCATTTAGTCGTTAATCGTTCAGAAAAAAAACATATAATTCACATTTAACAAAAGGAAAACACAAAGAAAGAGTTCTATTTGTTTTTAAATTATATTTCTCCCAGCAGACCTAAGATGTTATCCATCAGAAGTCCGAAATCACATTTGCCCGAAATAACGTTTATACGAATTTTCATAATCCCGAAAGTATTTCATATTCCTGATCTTTTTTTAACTTTTTTAACCAAATTTTTTCTTTTCAAAAGCATCCAAAATACCCGGAAAAATAGTGGTTTCGTTATAAATCGGTTTTCGGAATTTCGGCCAAATATAATCTCGAGCTTTTGATCGGTTACCGACTTAAGTACAGGATACAATAACTAAAATGACGGGTGTACGTGCACAACAAAATAAACATTATGTAATACAAAAACAAGTTTGTCATATTACACATAACTTGGTGGATCTGTACACAGAATCCGCAAATACAGAAAAGCTATATTTTTAGCATCTGCTGCGAAGGTGTAGAAATAAATAGCCAGCATGTGAAGAATATCTTAAAAGTTTTATTGTAACGTGCTAGGTGATTCAGTCAATTTATTTTCTGAACAGGAGGAAATTTCCTTTTGACAGGCATCAAAAGCTAAATATTATTTGCATTAGATGTACCTACATTACAATTAAAAGATATAGAAGTGAAATTTGTTGAAAAATAAAATCGTTACGTATAGGCATTCAGAACTCGGGTATTACTCGGGTTAGGGAGTGAGCAAACGGTATTTCGGGCAAATCAAATTTTGGAATTTTGATCGGTTTCCTTTTTTTGGGGTTACCAATCAGAAGACTTCACCACCGTAATAATTAATGCCTTAGGAGCTACAAACTAATAATCGTTTTAATAAAAAAAGATGCCCGACTGTTGACTTTTACTCATTTAAAAAAGTCACCACACTTATCGATGCGAAATCGCATTACGCCGATTAGAAAAAGTTTCATGTTCATGCAATAAGAGTGAAAAAGACGTTATGCGTTTCGGTTCGACTCAGATCACATGAATCGACATACGCCGGCAACGAATTGGCTTCCTTACAAATTTCTGATAGCGTCCGCACTGCGCGAGTGTTGACGACCACTAAACGCATTCCAAGACGTCTGAATGGCTCCGATCGTGTCCGTACGGCGCGCCGAATAAGGATGAATTTAAAAATGGATGGGAAACACATTTTTCAGCACCAAATAATTATAACAGAGTGAACGAGTAGAAAGTAGAAGAAGGTATAGTTACAATGATGAAACCACGGAAGAAAAAAAAACAACGATTACTATCAGAACGGATGTCGCCAAAACTCACACATTCTTAAGTTGAAACACTATAAAATTTTTATATTGATTGGTCATCATCATGTAGTGCCTCTCCACTACTGGCAGCTGGCCGTCAGCCGTCTGCAATATTCGTCCATTCCCGGATGTTGCGCATCTACGACTTCTTCCTTCTTCCAGTACGTCGTTTACCCTCGATCTTGCCCATCATTATAAGTTGGAGAAGTCGGTACTTTTCATGCCGTATAACGTGTCCAACATACGCAACTTTCCTTTCTTGACAGTCTGAAACAGTTCTCGGTCCCTCCCAACGCGCTGAAGAACTGTGACTTTGGGATCTTTCTGGGTCCAGCTAATGCGTAGTATTCTATTTGATTGGTAGTAGTTTCAAATTTAAAAAGGAATAACAAATTCTGGATTGTTAATATAATTTAAAGTTTATCATGTTGGCATATCGTCGAAAGTGCAATATCATCAATACCTATTATTGCAAGTTACGACGTTCTGATATTATATTGAAATTTCAATCAATGTACTGCCATCTGCGGTTCGTTACGGAACGTCGACGAATTGGAATTATTAATTTAGTCCTCCAAACAAGAAGCGACCATATTGCAGGGGCTTACTTTCGTTTCTTGTATCAAAAAAAATCGATGAACAGAAAATTTAATATTTATTAATATAAGACTTTCCAATGATAGGAAATACCATCACGGGTAATTTTTTTGGCGGGGCTATCATTTTTGTATTTCAAAACAGCACAATAAGGCATTTTTCTATGATTTTAGAGAATTTGTACGAAAGAATGACACAATCATACCGTACAGCGAAAATGGCGCACTGAGCTCAGATAGGTTTTTCGAGACCTATTATAATTGGCACGCGTTGGACGCTAATTAACCACTTCTACTGTATTTATTGTTCTGTGGATTAAATACATCCGTACTACACGGGGAAACCGACGCTATTGGATCGGTTTAATGCGATAAGTGTAGTAAAACATGATCAGTCTATATCGATTCCACGTCAGTAAGACTGGTGACTTTCTTGCACTTCTTGTAGTGGTTGAATTATCGAAACAAAAAACGAATTTCAAATTCCTTTTCATTGAGTTAAAGTGGGTTGACTGAATCGATTAATGTTTTTTTACTTAATACCCTTATCGCTTCTTATGTTTTGCGTTATCTTTCTTTGGATTAACGATAGAATCCAACTTTTCTCCAACGATTGATATAAACATAGCAACAAGAGTGCTTAGCACAAAAAACACAGTTCTCAAATGCCAAGGAAGTACATCTAATAGAGGATAAATCCAAACACCACATTTTAAATAACTCAAATGCAAATAAATCAAATATCCCAAAATAAATGTGAAAGTTAAAGAAACTGTGACTTTTCTGGAAGGATAAGTTCTTGCTGCAAAGAGGAGTTCAACAGTAATGAATACGCTGACGAATGTATGCATTACGTGATTGGCCCAAACAGGTATTACTTTTGCTATAACTTCAGGAAATATCAATTCTTTATCAATAGCGTATATTGTCCAGAATGCACCGGTGACGTAGAGAGCTACAGGGAAAGCCAGGCTAAAAAGGGCGTCCTTTATTTTTCTGATGAAAGGCGCTTTTTTCGGTGATCGTTCATTGGTGCCGATGATGTCATTCAGTAGGGCAACTGCGAAGTACAGGGTCTGAAGTGTCTGTAACAAATGAAGGGCAATTTTAAAAAACAACAAGAAAATATAATTGTATGTAGCGGCGGATGCTGACGTTCACGTGGCTCTAAAAATCTAGTCATCTAAGTCCCACTGTTGAGCATAGAGTGACCCTAAGCCGTAGCCATAGGACATAGTCTACAATGCTGGCGACTTTATCCAACATTGTCATGTAACGACGTTTCCTGATTGGTGTTTATAAATATAAATTGAAATAAAGTTAGTGACAAAGGTTTCGTGTTTTTAGGACCCACTCAGGGCTTTAAATAGCATAGATCTGAGGTGCACTGCCACTGCGCTTGTCACCCCGAGACATAAGTTGATAAGTCCTAAGTGCCTGTCATTTCATCAGCACCTTTATTGAAGCTGGAACGCAGTAATGCTCACATTACTGCTTGGCGGCAGAAATTGGTAAGTTAATCCAAAAATATCGTTTTTTTGTGAGAAATCGTGTGATTTTTTTATGTTGAATACATAGTGGCACCTGGTTGGACGAGATTTGTCTCCTGACATTTGTTGTTTTATTGATATAATTGACGCCACGCTGTTCGTTAGATACCCCATCAGCAAACTCCCTAAATTTCTTCATAGATTTTTTTTACTCTTTATTTATTTAAGGGCTTTGATCGTTATTGACCGTTATTGCCAGCCCCGTTAGAAAAACGATACCTCAAGAAAACACTTAATAAAATCCAGACAGATAAATCAAAATACTACCTAACCAAACATGTATACAAAATCTCCGCGGCACTACATGCTGGCTCCGACGAAACAGATTGAAACCACCCAACATTAATGTACGACACCAGCCTGTGCAAATAACCGCGCCCTCTTAAGGAATACACTCCATGAGCAAGTGATGTACATCCTCAGAAATCCCATACACTTCACAATTCGGTGAGTTCATTCTCCGCACCAAATACAAAAAAATGTTCAATTCAATTACGACAATTTGACCCCTGCTTAACTAAACATGGTCAAACCAAGGGACACGAGGAGGCTCACTCTGCATGGTCTTGTACCAGATAAAGTTGCTGTAAAAAGAAAAATAAAACAGAAATATATACGTACCAAACCCCAAAAAGTGAGCATCAATACCCTTCGTTTCAATGGCAAATCCAGTACTAAAATTTCCTTTCTGAATGGAAAATCTACATATTTTTGATCGTGCCACAGTGTAAAGGTATTAATGGACAACACTGCTAAGTGAAATAGAGGTAACATTTTCGTATATTTTTTGAAAGAATACAACAATAAAAGTACGTCTGTCCGTCTAATTGTTTGGTCACAAACTGAATCAGTTGTAAAATAGATTACATCATTAGTTCATCTCGAAATTGCAGTATGATAAGGCCTAGTACATGTGTGGTACGATGTGGTAGTGCGAGTCTACACGTCACTTTTTTGTGTAAAATAGATTTTTCAACGACTCGCCACAGTTTCAACAATAAATAATTAGATTTGCACTTCTCTTCTTCTTCCTGTCCTTATCCCACGCTAGGTGGGGTCGGCACAACATGTGTTTTTCTTCCACTGTCCCCTATCAGCCGTAATTTTTATACTCGCATCTTTCTTATCCATGTCATCTTTCACACAATCCATTCATCTTTTCTTTCATATTTACATTTGCACTATTTTACATATTTTATTCACAATACCTTAATTTGGTATAAGTACAATCAAGCAGAACACGCACTATTTGGGTAATTTTCAGCCTACCAATCAAATTTTTATCTCTATCTAATTTCGGTGGCATTTTTTTTTTATTATTTATGTATTCGAGTATATTCTAGTGTAATATTAAATAATATTTCAGGTCACTACACTCGAATACTAAATAATACTTCATGATAATATTCTAGAATATTTGAATAAAAAGAATTGCCACCAAATTTAGAATGAAATAGAATTGACATTTATTGCAACGCCACAACACATAGATACAAAAAATAAATATTGATACCACTTAGACAAGCAAAACAAAACAAAAAGACGTAATTAACAAAATTTAAATAAAATAAAATAAGACAATAACAAACAAAGAGCAAAACAGAAAAATACTAAATATAACAACTACAAATGTTGTACTGTTATGTGTGTGGTTGTGGCGTACGCAAAAGGACTTCATTTAGTTTATGCCACAGCCGCAATTGACTGTGGCGCTGGTTTTCAATGAGCCCTGAGCTGAGATGAGTGACGGACGTGTGTGTCGCAAAATAAAATAAACTAAATCTTTGTACGTAAATTAGAGAAAGCTAACCTGAAAATGACCCTGCACATGTTTTAAGTTTCAGTTTAAGTTTATATTTCAAGCTACACTTAAATTTCTACATACAAATAAAAAGCTTGACGAACTGGAATTGTAATATTAAATAACAAATTATGTATTGCGAACAGTGGCAAATTGAAACTAGTTGTATGGTGGCGAATCGTTATTGAACGAAGTCACTGGACACGGCTTTGCTATTTGTCTGAATAAAAACTCAAAATTTAAAAACTCCCAATACAAAACAGTGTACTCGATATCGAGGTCGATGTGCTTTTGACTGAACCAATTAAAAATATTTCAGCGAGTAATAGAAAATGTGAATCCAAACAAGTGCGTCAACAAAAAGTGAACATGCCTTTCAAATTGTTTACGGAAAATTAAGAACATGATTAAATCTTTTTGCTATACCCTGTTTTGTAGGTGTTATAAGGTTGGTAGTATTGTAATTATTTAAATAAACAATCAAGTTATATGAATTTTATACAATAAAAATATCATTTCATTAAGATACGATAAAAATCATGTAGTTACTAGCTAAAGAAAGCAATAAGTTCGTGAAGCAGCACGTCCATTGTGACATTTGTTGTTTGATTTTAATTTTTTTTTTATAGTACCAAGTGACAGAACGAACAAGTCGTGCGCTTGATGGTAAGTCACACGCCTATCCATAACAATTACATTGCTTTTCAGAGCTTTAAATCACAAAGCTCTGAGGAGCTCTACCACTGCCTCCGTCACCCTGAGACATAAATTAACAAGTCCCATTGTGCCTGTAATTTAACCATGACCCTTCAAAACCGGAAGGCAGTAATGCTCACATTACTGCTTGGCGACAGAAATAAATAAGGTGGCAGTACCTCCTTGGACGAACTCGGTCATTCTTGGAATAGTGTTTACTACTTAGAATAATAACGCATAGAAACCTAGTCCGCACACGCTAAGTGAGGCAAATTGGCCTACACGAGCGGGCGGGCCTTCAGTGCTCAAGGTCAACTTGCACCGCGAACAGCTCCAGAATTTTAGCTAAAAATGACGAAATGTGCGATAAATGAGTGTAAAAATACGTCAGACAAACATAAAATAGATACAAACATCACATTCCACAAGGAAGTAACGCGTTTCAACTTGTATTTTTATATAAATATTCACTAAAACCGAAAATTAACCTACTACTAAAATTAGCCTACATGAATTTGATTTTTGCCTCACTTGTGACAGTTCGTTTGATATGAAACTATCATTCTATGCGTTATTATTCTAAGGTTTACTACTTAATTGCCGTGGAAATTTTTATTATTTAAATATCAAGTATATTATCGTGTAATTATTAAATAATATTTCACGATACAATAATCGAAAATTAAATAATACTGCATGATAAAAAATCTAATACTTAAATAATAAAAATTGGCACGGAAATTAGGTGGTGAATACTAGTCCGAGAATGACAGAACTCTTTCACAAGTTCTACTGCTACTAACAAATAATGCCATCTTATGATAAAACAGTCCAAAGATTAAAGTCCAGTGTGTGTCTGTAAGTAACAATTATCTTTGGACTTAGACCTGGTGCTGACCTAGCCAATCTAGATTATATAAATTGAGTAGCTATTGTACAATTATATTGTCTGTTGCAATAACAAACGAGTCTGTTTGTCTGAAGGTCATAAGGTGACAGAGTCGATGATAGCACAAGCCGATAATGCAGCGAACCGGACTTGATAGAGCTATCTCAAAAGCGGATTCTGTAGAAAATTAATTAGATTGTTAGCATTGCATGATGTGGATAGGTTTCAGCCAAAATTTATATTCACGTAGGCGACCGCAAAATGCTTTGATTCAGGCTCAATTTATATTGCGGCGAAACGGACTGGAAGCGAATTTGTGTAACGATATTGTACAGGGCCAAGTCAAGCTTGACACTTAAGATTTAAATCCAACTCTATGCCGCTTACGGTCCAAAGTACAAAGTGTTAAGCTCGACGTGCTCTTTACTGTACATAGCGTAATGAACTTTATGGTCAATTGTGTAACGTGTATACGTGGTCAATTGTGTTGTGCACCGTACAAACTAGATACGAGTCAAAAATCACGTCGAACGTCTTCCACGGGATTCTCGAGCATGCTCGAGAATGTCGACGAGATACTACAGCCGCAAGGTGGATCGCTGAGCGACTGACGCTTTCATTCTATTCCGTCGGGCCGCAATGTAAATTGAGCCTCAATGGCGTAGGCGCAGGAAATGAAATGATTTTTATTTGCATTATATTTTCTTAAAATTTTCTTTAACTACACGATGTTTTACCATGATTATTCAATTAATTTTGTGACTCCTCCAGTTTGTTATAATTTTCTTGTGTTAATAATTAATTAATACAAGGATCAAACACTGAGAAAAAATTCCATCGACTCGACCGGCTGGATTGGAACCAGCGTCTTCCGTGTTAGATGCTATGCCAACTATAAACCACGGAACGAATCAACCACTGTTGCCAGATTAGGCGATTTTTCGCTATTTAGGCTGCTTTTAGGGGTCGCGCGGCGACTGAAAAGTGGTTGGCGACTCAGCGATATTTAGGCTATGTTTGAAATAGGAAAAGGCGATTTTAGGCTTTTTAATAAAATGTCTACATGAACTCTTATTTCCCCAATTCCCCAATGTCCGGCAGCAATTGTAAAATTGTTTTTCTTGATTTTTAGGGATTTTATTGCCTGGGCGAATATTGGCTACTTAATATAAATAAATTGGCGAATTAACTTCACAAAATTCTGGCAATACTGGAACCAACGGCCCTCACGAATTTTTCTGTGCTTGTTGCTAGTTACATGTAATTTTATCGCTTTGCCTTTCTGATGCAAATAGGTGTAATCATTCGAATTGTTTACCTCGTACAATATGAAAATCATTCTCAGATTTAATAACGCTATCTTATCTCTCGTAGACAATGTGGGGTGACATCTTAAGTTCTCTTTGTCATGAATGAACGTAATTTACAATTTTAACGAATAAAGTCAATTTAATATCAATAATACTGTTCCCAACAACTACACCAACTACCTGACATCAGACGAGGAATTTCCCTGTGCTATGAGTACCACAGCAACGGAATTCACTCCGTGACATTATCTGGAAAACCCAGATCAGAACCAATTTATAAATGTTCTATTTTTTTCAGATCTAATTTATTGCTCGATTGATTTAGTAGCAATAGACTTCCTTGGAAAAGTCCAGAGAAGTAATGCCATCTTACTTACTTACTTACTTACTTATGTTTGCCGCCGCGACCGTGCCGTTCCGTGCCGTGGTGAAAAGGACTTACTCGTCAGATCTTTTCAATTTAAAGCTCTGAGTGGCACTGCAACTGTTATGGATGGCGTGTAGCTTACCACCAAGGACAGGACTTGTTCGTCCCGTCACTTGATAAGCGTCAAAAGATAAGCTTAAATACTAGACACTAAAACTAGGATTAAATAATATGAACAGTGGCGGATTTGCAGTCTTGGCCGCCCCAGGCTCCAGGCCATGTAGTCAGTACAAGTCGCCCCTTTCTCAGTACTCATATACCTACTGGTATACATATCTATATTTTATAAATAAAATGTACGAAAGTAATTTAAGAAGATTATTGTTACACGATGCGGTGCAGTGCGGCCCAAAATAATGTGTGTGAACCTTTAAAATAATTAGGTACTGTGAGTTATTTCTTGTTATTATCAGTGAATTTTTTGCCACGATTGGCCTAAGACCACCCTAGGCCCGGGCCTAGGGTGGTCTTAGGCCAAATCCGCCCCTGAATATGATTAAAATTCTATCCCCGCGGCAAGGTGCTCAAAGAAGCCTGGCGATGTTCCTCCTTTGTATAGCTATGCCAATGCGTTGGGCGCTTGGGTTTTCCAGACAGTGTATTAATTTTTTTAAATAAAATTTCTTTAACTTCAAATGTGATTTTGACTGTTTTCCGTTAGGAATGTTGTATGCTTAAAATATGAATACAATTCCAAAA